AAATAGTATTGAACATCATGGAATTAAAAGCAAGAAATTGAATCTAAACAAGTAAAGCACACGAATTAAGAAGTGTAAAGTATAGAAGTTGCAAACCAAACGTTAATATGGAGAAAAGTCCTTTAATATGTTATTACTCATTTAAGATCCAACTCTACCAACTGAGTTTAGCTTAAACTTTGCAGATTTTTCTAAAATTTTGTAGATGAAATTTGAACATAAATTTGAAGATCTATCAGTTAGGAAACTAACAAAAAAATTTTGGCTCAAAATCAAGTTAGACATTAATATCTAATCAAAACATTGCAAGAATGTTAAAAATCAAAACTACCAAACAACATTGATGATCATGTGAAATCAATGAAAATTGAAGGCAAAAACATAAGATTCTTGAAATTTCATTGAAAAAATCTAAAAGAACATTGAAAATTAATGTAAGAAAGTTAAAATTTCATTTAAAGTAAAATAAATTGGCTGCCAAATAGCCTTATTTGGTAAGGAAGAAAATAAAAATGTAAAGAAAATGAAGTATAGAAATTTAAAACTAAAAAACTAAAAATCTATCTAAAAGCTCCTTATGTTTGGCCACTCTTCCCTATTTATAGGCAAATAAAAGGTACTTTAGCCTCTAAACATACTGAGAAAAACTCCAAGAAACTACCATCCTTTTAAAGTCTTCTATCTCAACTTCTTTGAATCCTTTACTTACTTGTTTGCTACATTTAGCTTTCCTTTACTTCAAACTTTTTTCTTTTGATCTAATAAGCTCTAAAAAGTCAACATTATAACCAATAGAAAGCCTTTAAATAGCCAGCTTAGCAACTCCAATTAGTCCTTCTTTGAATTTTCAAGTTTGGTGCCACATTTCTTCATCTCATAGTCCATGCAACTAACGGCATTGATTAAACTTTGCTCCCTTGTTTTAGTACCAATTGTAAATAATTCTTCCTTCATTTTATTGCCAAAATACAGACCATTAAGTGGACACATTATAAACCTTGGAAAAATTCTAAAAAATTGCAAGTCCAAAAATAGCTTCCAACTATACTAGTGCACCTATTACCTGTCAAGCACTTGTAAAAATATTACAAAGGTAATAATGCATTGATGAGCTAAAAAACGCATTTTCAAATAAAAAATATGAGTAATAAGACTTGAAATAAGGTTCCATCGAGTTCAGTTGAGCTAAAAAATCATAAAAGAAAATGTTAAGAAAACCCCCATAGATGATAATGTAACAAGCACACTAGTTTTGGCATTTTCTATATTTTTGCACAAAAAATCCTCCAAAAATCCTCCAAAATGGTCCAAAATTTCTCAATTTTGATATTCTCAACTATACATTGAACATATATGTATTTAAGAGTATGTTTGCCAAAATTTGCAATGAATAAACCAAATTGCAACAAAAATTACACTAAAAATGATTAAGAAAATACTAAAATTTTAGTGCAATCACCCTATGTAACCGTACTCTTGAACTCGACTTTATTTTTACAAACCCAAGAATTATCCTTTTAATAAATTTTATTAATTTCAAATTTTATTAAAATAATAAGTTTTTAAAATGGTCAATCACACCTAACAAAAAATAATTTATGGCAATTCTTTGTTTTAATTTTTTAAAATTTGTTAAGCAATCTCAAAACTTTTATGACTGTCTCAAAAATGCAGGAGAAGGCAGTAGCACTCATGATTTTCAAAGGTAAAATATATGTGTATAACTATCAACTTTAATTTATTATTTTTTCGTGTTACACTTTATCTATTCCTTGCTTTTTTTTTTTTTCTCTATTTCTTGCTTTTTTTCTGCATTATTCAAACTAATTATTGTAATCTTGATTTCTTTGAGATTTTCTTTTAACTTATTATAAGTGTCCATTTGATTTGTCATATGTGTCTTTGGAATTTTTTTGTATGCACAAGCTCTTTTTATATAATAATAATAATAATAATAATAATAATAATAATAGTGTGTTTATCATAATTAATCAATAAACTGAATATGATAAGTTTGTTTGGATAGTATTTTTTTTTCAATATTTGCAAAAAAAAAAAAATTTTCTTATTTGATTGTTTTTAAAGAGAATTTAAGATTATAATGAAGTTTTTTTTTTTTAGATAAAGAAAAGAACATAAATTGTTTTTCCTAATTTTATTTTCTAATTTCTCTTTTGCATATAAAGGTTTATTTTGGTATAGTTCTTTTCTAATTTAACTTCCATTTGTATATTTTTATTTTAGTTGGATACTTGGTTAGAAATTGATTAGACTATTTAATTATTAGAATGATGTTCTTTTCAAAACCATTGCTTCAAATCTCATTATTTAACATTACCATTTTAATATTATATGTAATATATACTAAATGTTAAAAGATTATTTTGAATCAAGCATGCACGTTTTGATCTGTATATATGATTATATTTTCTTATTTATCTTTCCCAATTGTGACGGTTATGTGGGATTGTAAAATTAAATGAATTATATATTAAAAGGTTTTTAAAGAAAGCAAAGCATCAAATTCGGGCTGAAGTATAAGATAATGAAAAGGATTTTAAGACTATACAGTTTTAACCTTTATTTGTGTTTTAGTGCGTATATTAATTATCCCATCTCCTTAAATTATATGATTTTCAGTGTCATTTTAGAAAAGTTTTATTTCTTGAAAAAAAAAAAAAAGAACAGAATGGACTAATAAAGGAGTATAAATGAAAATAATGAAAATAAATAAATATATCTAATAAATTAAGAAAATAAACAAAACCAAATCTAATTTTACCTTACAACAAATAAACTTTAAAAAATAAGTATATCATTTTACAATTTTCAAATCTCTTTTTTAACATGTCCTTTAGTTAAGGTGTAATTGGACAACATCTCTTTAATATTTCCTTTAATTATATTGAATATTATATTTAGATGTTTTATTGAATATTATATTTAGATGTTTTATGCTTTATGTGATCTTGAATTGGTAAGTCAACAATCAACTATTTTTTTTTTAATTTTTTGGACAAATAATTTTTTTTCAAAATCTTTATTTATCATGTTTTTATTATCTTTGTATTAAATAAAAATTAGACAAGGAAAATGAAAGAAAGTATGCAACTTTTTTTTTCTATAACTATTACTCTTATTATCTTTTTATTTTTAATAGTTAATTTTTTAATTAATATTTATATTAGTTCATATTATCTTAATTTTGACAAATCAACTTAAGATATGTCATAAACTAACTATTATATATATTTTACACATATAAATTAAATAATATTAAATAAATAAAGTTAATTCATGCATAACGTGAATCACAAACTAGTAAATATAAAAATGAATTGACATTTTATTTCTTTCTTTAATTAGTTAATATATATATATATATATACACACTATTAATATGTTAAAAAGAGAGATTGAAATTTCAAAAAAATAAAGGATGATAAAGAAAAGAAAAAAATAAATGATTTTAACTTAAAATTTTAATGAAAAATTTTCAAGATATTAATCGTTATTTTTTAAAAATTAAATCTTAATAGACATATTTGTTGTTGTTTTTTCTTTTTAAGAGATTAATTTACATTAAAAATTTTATATTCTTTTAATAATAAATTTTAATAAATTTAAAGATAAAATTAACTCATTTTTTTCGCTGGATTTTACATTGAATTTATTAAAATTAATAATTAAAAAATAAAATTTTTAATTTACGCTGATATATGTTAATTTCTAAAAAAATTATGATTGATATGTTAATTTTTCGAATAAAAAGCAGCATAAATTGTTACATTTTTTATTATTATTTTAAAAAAATTGAAATCAAGAGGTTCTTTTAGGTTTATATATTCTATTCATAGTTATCCGAATCAGACCAAACCATTTATTTGACCAGGTGAACTTATGAAACGATGTTGAAATCGGTTCGATTTTATAAGTAGATCAGTTTTATAATTAAATTACTTTAAACCATGTGAATCGGTGGTTTATATAATAAATTAGTAAATTGAACGATTTTTTTTTTAATCGAACTGATTCAATACTAACTAATAAATTTAGGTAAAATATAAAAAAATTCTTTAAGTATTTAAAATAATCTAACTAAACCCTTATACCACTATTTCATTTAAATAAGCCCTAAAATTCTTATTTTTTACTATCAAAACTCTTGTATCCATATATTAATGATATGTTAGTATATTTTGATACATGGACAATAATATTATAAAAAAATTATACATATATAAAAATAAGCAATTTTCAAAAAAAAGATGATCTAACAAAAAATTTTATTAATTGATACCATAATTAAAAATAAATATAAAAATAATAATATATAAAATTTTAAAAAATAAAATGTTAACAAAAATGATTAATTATTTGACCATGATAAAAAATAATTAATAAAAGAAAATGTATATATGTAAAATTAATAAAAAAATCTACATTCATATAAAAATATAAAAATGATTTTAATTTTTTTTACTAATTTTCATATAAATATAAATATTTTCTTTTTATTAATTTTATATACAGATATTTCTTTTTTATTACATAAAGATTAATTATTATTTATTAATAAATAATATTTATATTTTAATAAATATAAATAATGATTATTTATAATTTATTATATTTATTTATTAAAATATAAATATTATTTCTAACTATTAAAATATAAAATATGATTTTAATAAAATATTAAGTAATTTCATTTCTAACTAATAATTAATTGTTTTATGAATTTTATATTTTAAAATTTGTAGTTTATAATATATCTTAAGATTTATAATTTTATGATTAAATTATTAAACTATAACTTTAGTTAAAAATTTAAAATTTAAATTTTTTAATAACATTTTTATTAAATAGATAATTGATCCATTAACCCGATAATTGAATTATTGGCTTAAAACTTTGAATGATTTAATGTTTAATATGACTCTTATAACTATAATTCTATCCAACGTGGCAATGGGAATCACTCGCCGCTTGTACTTTTTTCTCTTCGGACTTCAAACTTCTTTGCAAATTCTCTTTAAACCCAAGACTTCATCAAATGACACCCAAGTCCCCTTCCCAAATTTCGAGGACCAAAATTAACCCCAACCCCTCAATTGAAGCCCCATCAAAACCCTAACTTCCCAAACCCTATTCCTTTAGTTCATCTGTTCAAGGTTCCAACTTCATTAACCTTGAAGAAAAAGAGCTGCAATCTTCGAATTTTCAAAAAAAAAAAAATGGATTTCGATGAGTACGAGTATTTGGAAAAAACCGTGGAGGATCAGGAAGATTCGAAGAAGAAGAAAAAAGACGGAGAATCGGGGGATAAGAGCGAGAGAAGCTATAGGAAGAGAGATGGCGCGAGAGAGGAAGAGGATGATGAAGGCAAGAGCAGCAGCAAGAAATCGAGAGGCGGCCGCTACGATGACGACGAGGAGAGGCGAGATCGGGATAAGGATAGGCATAGAAGCAGCCGCGATAGAGAAAGGGAAAGGGAGAGAGACAGGGGTAGGGATAGGGATTTAGAGAGGAGGAGTAGTAGAGAGAGCGAAAAGGAAAGGGAGAGAGAAAGAAGAGATAGGGATAAGGAGAAAGAGAGGGAACGGGAGAGGGAAAAGGAGAGAGAGAGGAGGGAAAGTGAGAAGGAGAAAGAAAGGGAAAGAGAGGAGAGAGAGAGAAGCAGTAGTAGGTCGAGGAGGCATGAGAGTGATCGCGAGCCAGAGAGAGAACGTGAAATTGACATAAGAGATAGCAGGTATCCTTATAATGTTTCTTTTTTTAAGTAAATTATATGTGCAAAAGGAATTTTTTAGCATCAATCTGGAAGTTTTGTTTTGTTTTGTTTATGTCGATTGTAGAGATGACTAGAGGACTGCTAAGCTCAATTAAAAATGTATTTGCATTGTGTTTTTATAATGCAATTGTTTTGTCTTTGTCATGATCTAAGCAAGTTCAGAAACATAGTTGGGTGCTCATTATCCACCCCTTTGGGATGAAGTTCATGCTATTTTTTGATGTTTCAGAATTCGTTTATTTTAGTAATTGATATGGCAAGAAATGGGGTGAAAGGGTTTCTAACTTGTATCCTTTAGCGTTATAGAACTATTGCGCCATTTGGATGTGCATTTTTTTAATATGATGTGGATGGCATGCTGTTGTAGATTTGTGCTGACCTGTTATTTTTAGGGCATGGTGTTGGTGATATTCTGAATTATCTAATGAATATGGATGTTGTAGGAGATATAAGGAGAAGAAAGAAGCAGTGGAGCCTGAAGCTGATCCTGAGAGGGACCAGAGAACTGTTTTTGCTTACCAGGTAGATTCGTTGCATATTTTGCTTTCATCTTTAAAGGATTATTAGTCATAAATGTTATATTTATGTGTGTACAAAGATGCATTTTTTTTCATTTTTCTCTAATTATTAATTATTGTTCTACTTGAATTGGTTGGTGACAGATGCCTCTAAAAGCAACTGAGAGAGATGTCTATGAATTCTTCTCAAAAGCAGGCAAGGTTAGTCAGGTTTAATTTGATTGTTTTTTTTTTCTTGTGTGAAGGTTGTACTATAATTTGTCCACCCTTGCTTTGAAGTACTTCAGGAATCTATGTTAATTGGTTTGGGAAAAATTTAATGGAATGATTTTGAAAATTTGAATGTATATTTGAAATATTAAGTTTATTTCCATTAAGACACATTAAGGGGATTTCTTTTATGTAGCAATCTTGTATTGCATAGTCTGCAATATTTCTTCAAATTCGTTTGTGTCTTTATACATTTCTGACAGTAACTATACGTTAATGTATTAAACAATGTTTAGAATGATACGAATGCATATTATTGAGATACATCTGCTTCCTCTTGCAGTATAAGCTCCTCTGCCTTCAGTTACGAGTAGTATTATGACTTTCTTGTGTCTCAACATACTATATATGTGGGGTGAGTTAAAAGCACGTGTTAAGCAATATAATCTTGCAGACACCCCTTTGATAGGTGTTTCATAATGAAGCTTGAAAGTCTGGAATATCCCCATATGCTTAATTTTTTGAGGTTATTATTTTCTGTTTGATCTCATATTTTTGTTTCCCTTTATCATTTTCAGGTGAGGGATGTTCGGCTGATCATGGATAGGAATTCAAGACGATCAAAGGGAGTTGGGTATGTGACTGTATGTTGAACAAAGTTATACTTTCTTTTGCAGTCTTATGAAATAAGTATTAGCATCGTTGTTTTCAAGAATCAAGTTTAACTGTATTCTTAAATGCACTAGCAATGCGATAATGATGGGGATGATGGGAATAGCACTCATGTTTAATCAATTCATGCTGCGTTTGCAAGGTAGATGACATGAACCTGAATTTTTCCTTCTCCCACCTCTCTTTTGCTTTGAATTTTCTTTGCATTAAAGGCAACTTATAAACATCGGTACCTTATTCCGATTCTTAACTTTTTAGTGGTTCTGATAAGGATTTAAAGATGCTACATACAGTTTAATCTAAAAATGGATTTTTTAATGACTTAACACTCATTGCTAGGCTTTTTCTTTTTCTTCTAATATATTCCTTTTCAATCTTTTGGTTGTTGAGGTTGACAGGGAGGGGTTGAGGTGTTTTCTTTGTTCTTCATCTTTGATTTTGGTAGCTTCAGGGTTCATTTTGATATCTTAGTTCTATGAGTATAATCTAAGCTATAAGGTGGAACCTTCCCAATCTTTTACTTTCTTTTGATATTGAAATGGACATGCTAATCTCTTAACTTCCTTTTCGAGTCCTTTTGTGTTGTTTGATTATCTTTGTGTATGATATTTATTATGCTTTTCTAATCCTATGCTGAGCTAACATCTTTTATTGCATGAGACATCAGATTCAACAAAAGATACTCAGCATGAGCTCTCTGCATTACAGTTTTTCTTTCCCTACATCTCTTTGCTGTATGCTTTGTAAGTTTTGTTTGTAATTTTTTCCTCATATTTTTAGATAAAGTAATTGCAGTCACTGATAAAATTGCAGGTATATTGAGTTTTATGATGTAATGTCTGTTCCAATGGCAATAGCATTGTCTGGTCAACTGCTTCTTGGTCAACCTGTGATGGTTAAACCTTCAGAGGCTGAAAAGAATCTTGTTCAGTCCAATACTTCTGGTGCAGGCGCTGGTGGTGTTGCCGGACCATATGGAGCTGTTGATAGAAAATTATATGTGGGGAACTTGCACTTCAATATGACAGAAATGCAGCTTAGACAGGTAATAGGATCATTAGCTCATTAGCAGAATTGGAAGTTACGATTCTTTGATTTGGTTTATGAATGACTGCATTTATGTTTTTATGTTTTCTAAACTCTCGTTTGAATTGCTGACTGGATTGTTGACTTGTTGTTAAAAGAATAATTGTGGATGAAGCACATTCTAGGTAGGTGCTTATGAAATAGTTTGGAAGGAGTTTCATGAATGTGTTTGAGATGTCTTGTTTTCATTAACCTTTTTCCATGTTGATATTATTTGTTTTTTATTTTATTTTATTTTATTATTATCACCATTGTTATTATTTAAAGGTACAAGATTTTCACTTCAAACCTTTTTCTCATCTTATGTTAATGGCTCAGATATTTGAACCCTTTGGTCCCGTGGAGCTTGTGCAACTACCACTTGACCTTGAGACTGGGCAGTGCAAAGGTTTTGGGTTTGTTCAGGTTAGATATAACTGAAGACTTGAGTTCATAATTTTTTTTTCCTGTATAGTAATAATTATGCATGTACTTGTTTGCTGTTTGTTTTTTACAGTTTGCTCAACTTGAACATGCAAAAGCAGCACAAAGTGCATTGAATGGAAAACTGGAGATTGCTGGTCGAACCATTAAGGTAGGCTTGTTAATTTCATGAACTTGTAGCATTATGTTATAACTAATTTCAGTGTCAGTTGTGTGTTTTTTCTTCTGTGACTATTACTGGCTTTTGTTGGCAATAAAGGGGTTAATGTCATGAATGACTCTTGAACTATAGTGCAATGTTTAATGGGGTGCCCGAACTTTAAACTCTCTAATATGATACCTGAATTATGAATCTGTTAACTAATGTGGTACTTGGAGGGTTGTTTGTGTCATCATTTGTAGCTAGTCAAGTTAGGGGTGAGTACCACCTTAGTTAACAGATTCATAGTTTAAGTGTCACATTAGAGATTTTTAAAGTTCATGTACCACATTGAATATTTCACTATAGTTTAGGGGCTATTCATGACATTAACCAACCCCCCCCCCCCCCCCAAAAAAAAAAAAAAAACCCTGTAACTGTCTTTTTATTGTAGTCTTCCAAATTAACATCTTTGTGGTTAAATTTGCATGTAGGTTTCATCTGTTACAGATCATGTTGGCACCCAAGATACTGCTGCAAAATCTGCTGACTTTGATGATGATGAGGGTGGTGGCTTGGTGAGTTTAAATGCTAATGAATATTGATTTTTATAGATTTGTTCCCTGTTTGTCTCATTCTAATAGTAGTTGCTTAGGAAGTGTTTTTTTTCCTTGCTCTTTTTCTTCCTGCTTAATTGGCTCCTGTATCTTTTATGTAGGCTTTAAATGCTCAATCAAGAGCATTGCTTATGCAGAAACTGGATCGCTCTGGTATTGCGACAAGGTTGGTTTTTACTTTCAAATGGTCTTTTCCAGTTTGATCGTATTATGTATCTAATGTAATAGTTTTGCAGCATTACAGGCTCCCTTGGAGTACCCCTCCTTAATGGTTCAGCTTCAAATCCACAGGCTGTTACATTACCAGTCAATGGCCAAGCTGCACATCCAGCACCAGCTCTACTTCCAATCATGTCTACTACAAACCTTGATCTTATTGGACAGCCCAGCGAGTGTTTGCTGTTGAAGAATATGTTTGATCCTGCAACTGAGGTTTGGATTTTTCCTGTTCTAAACATGCTATTTCCTTGTAATTTTTGTCTTCTTTCTATATTACTTCCTTGTACAAGGTAGTGGTTTTCTGTAAGTTCTCTATTGCAGATGGAACCAGATTTTGATTTGGAAATTAAAGAGGATGTTGAAGAAGAATGCAGCAAATATGGCAGGGTGAAACATATTTATGTGGACAAGTAAGCATTACACTATCTATTGCATTGGATAAACTAATTTTTTACAGCCATTTTGTTTTGTAGTTGACTTCATCATTGTTCTTTCCAAATGTGGATAAGTATATTTTATAGCCATTCTTTGTTGTTTATTAATAAAAGAGCGAATGGTGTATCTATGTTGAACAAGGGGAAAGTTCTGTCAATCTATGCTTGGTTTACTTGATAACTCTATTGATTTATAAATTGCTAATTGAGCATACATTTTGGATGGCTATCATTGGAAGGAACTGTTGAGTCTTGTGACATATCTGTACTCTGCTTTCCCCATTGCAGGATTTTGCATTAGAATTCCTAGCATGCCAAATTACCTGTGTTTTTATACATACTAATGTATGGAAAGACTATCAAATGGATTTTGATACTGAAATCTGTATTCTTCAATCAGGTTCTCTATAGATTGGAAATATAGGGCTATCTAATGCGAGGAGATAGTCACATTTTTTATTTCTATTAATCTGTTAGTATTGTTTTAAGAAACTATTTAGACATACATGTGCAAGTTATAGCCTTGTGCATAGTCTGTATCTGGTGATATTTGACCTTTCTTGTCTATAAGGTAGGAATTTACATACTTCGAGTGGTCTCAGCATACTTGACTTGCTTCTTAGGTGCCTATCAATGACTAATGACATCTTATTTTGTGGGATTAATGTTATGAATGACCTTTAAACTATAGTGAAATATTCAATATGATACATGAATTTTAAAAGTCTCTAATGTGGTATATAAATTATAAATCTAATGTGATACTCATCCCTAATGTGATTAACTTCAAATAATGATATGTAACAGATAAATAATCCTCCAAGTATTACATTAGTTAACAGATTCATAGTTCATATTTCATGTATTGCATTGAACATTTTAGTGTAGTTTCAAGACCATTGGTAACATTAACCCTATTTTGTATTTTAAAGCTTTCTTAGGCTTTATCATTTTAACTTGTCAGATTTCCCAATTCGAATTTTATTAATTACTGATGATATGAACTTTTAGGAGGAAAGATGGATTTGGTTTGCCTTTTCCCAACTGCAGTTAAATGGAAAATGTTTTTTTCTTGTAACACCTTTTCATCTTTTCTGCAGAAACAGTTTGGGTTGTGTCTATCTTCGATTTGATTCTGCCGAAGCAGCGGGTAAAGCTCAACGTGCAATGCACATGAGATGGTTTGCAGGCCGATCAATATCAGCTGTATTTATGGTAAATGTGTTTTCCACCCTAACGTACTTTGAAAATTTCCACAACAAAATATATTCAGCATTCCTTTTTCAGTCTAATACTTTGTGCTTCCATGGTCTCCGTAAACCTTGTTTACTAATTTATTGTCGAGACATCAGCTTAAACTAGCTGGTCCATCACTTAGAAATTGTTGTATGTTGTCTTTTGGGATAATTAAGGACACAAACACACTGAAGGAGTTATTTACTATTTCCTGTTGGTATGTTCTCTGGTGTTCTATTTGGTCTATGGGTATTCCCGATTCTCTGTTTTAGGCGAGTAATTTTGTTATTTTTATTAACTTTTCATAACGCTTGCAGCAACCCCACGAGTATGAAGCGAGGTTTAAAGGTTGAACTTGAACTCGGAGAATGGATTCGGGATATTTTTCAACGTGGATTGTTTCTCATGATGTCTGGATGGATGGTAGGTTTATTTCTGAACTGGTGTTGTCCTGAGTTTAGATTTTTTTTTTTAAAATCCTTTCACAGTGACTTAAATGTAAGATAATGTTATTTGTTTACACTTTTTTGGTTATGTAATTTTGCACAAGGAATATGCCTTGTAATTGGTCAAAGTTAAACTACTTCAAAATTTTTAACTTTTTTTTTTTTATCATAATTTTAAGTGTATTTTTTTAATCTCAACAACAAGCACTTTGTCTCAGAGGCATTAAAAAGATTAAATGAAAAGATTATAATACCCTTAATGACACACTATAAATTTATATTATTATAAAACATTGTTGGTCTTAATTTTGAAGAAGCTTAATTTTTATCCATGAGTTCTAATAATAATTTCTTAAATCTTCTCTAGTTACGAAATCCAAATATGGTGCATCTGTAAAATGATGACAAGAAGTAAAAAATTGAAACATATATCTGGTTGGAATTATCAGATGGATTCACCTTTTAAATAGAAACAAAGAGTAATTTAAGGAGATCTTTAAGTAGTAACCTTAATGACAACTTAGAAAGCTAATCATGCTTGTTAACATAAATAATACCTTCATTTTCAAAAGATGTTGGCAAATTTTTTTTTTCTCTTTTGGATAAGTAGGACAATTTATTACCAACAAATTCAATTCATGATTTCTAATAAATAAGTGAAGAAAATAAAAATTACCATAACAAAGTAAGTATTAAGAAGTAGGTTAACTAGTAATACGTGAAATTTTTTCAGAAAAATTATCAAATTTTTATTAGAGTTTTTAGAATTTGTAAAATTAATAAAGTAACACATTTTTTAAAGTATATTAAAAAATAAAAAATTAATTAAAAAATTGAGATATTTGTTAATTTTTTAATTTCGTTAATAGAAGTTAAAAAAGTTTACGGCATTAAATTTTTTGATTTTTTTTTTACAAAGGAGTAAATTTTTGGATTTAAAAAAAAAAAGAAAATTGGGCTTAAAACCTAACTAGTAGGGGCTGATCAGGCTAGACTGGGTTGGGTTGAGCTGAATCAAAAAGGCTTAGCCCGTGAGAAATGTGATGGGAGAGAGAACGGTCCAATCGGCGGAAAGACCGCGACCAACTCTGACGCTCTCTCTCTCTCTCTCTCTCTCTCTCTCCAGTGGCAGTGAAACTGAATTTCGTAAAAAAAAAAATCCTCATTTCTCATATATCATCGTACTCCATATAAGAACAAAACAAAATCCCACCGAAAAAAAAAAAAAACCGTTTCACTAGACCCGACCTTTTCGTCTGTGCTTTGAACTTCTCTCTGAAAAATTATTTTTGTCATTCAAACTTCGGATAGAGAGATTTATTGCAGTTTTAAACCACTTTGGCTGAAAATAAAAGAGTGTTTCAGTTTCAGTTTCATTGTCTTGCTTTCAAATAACAGTAAACCCAACAAACCCAAAATTCTTTTTGTTTGGTTGTTGTGTTTTTGATTGATTTGGTCGGGGGAATATAATAAAAAAAGAAAAAAAAAGAAACAGTCGATGGATAGGTACCAGAGGGTGGAGAAACCAAAAACAGAGACTCCAATAAACGAAAATGAAATTAGGATAACTACTCAAGGCAGAATGAGGAATTATATTTCCTATGCCACCACTCTCCTTCAAGTAACTTTCTCTCTTTTAATTTTTATTTTACTTCATATTTTACTTTGTTTCAACACAAATATGTTATATTTAATATAATTGTTGGGATGAAATGTGTTCTGAGCAATGAACACTATAAAGGTGTAACTTTTGTCAATTTATATGTTATAAGTATATTTTTATGGTGGTATTTTGGTTATGAAGAACAAGGGTAGAGTGGCAATATTGTTCCGGTTGTCATCAAATTCAGTAGGCCTCTATAGGGTATTTATTTCGTTTACAATTAAGAAACAAAATGGAATTTGGACTGCGGTTCTACTGTACAGGTTGTGCTCTCAATAGCGACTAATAGATTCTCGCTCTGGCTATAACATTGAGTTACGGAAATCATATTACTGGCTGAAGAGATCTTTTAAGTTTTGATTAATGGAAATTGTATTTTTTACTCAAATTCGATTAAGTATGCTTTCTGAAGCTAATTCTGATGTTGTGGTAAGATATTAATGGATGATTGCAATTTGAAATTACTAGAAAAACTTCCCCTTTAAAATTTGCCTTGGAAGAAAAAAAAAGGCTGTTATCAAAATTCCTTCATGCACTTTTTGCTCTGGTTTTTGTTGTTTTTTACTTTGTTCTGGATTGGCCATGATATTTTCGTGACCGTTCTTTAATTTTTATTGATGAAGAATTCATTTTATGTAGGAGAAAGGGTCCAGTGAGATTGTTCTTAAAGCAATGGGCAGAGCCATTAATAAGACTGTGATGATTGTAGAGCTAATCAAGGTAGATCGAAGATGGTTCTCTCTCTTTCAGCACTCTTCTCAAACACATATAAACAAGTAGATATGCATATGTCATTTTTCTTCATTTACGTTAAAGCTTCTGTTTTCAGAGGAGAATTGCTGATCTTCATCAAAATACTTCAATTGGATCAACCGATATAACAGACATGTGGGAACCACTAGAAGAAGGCCTCCTTCCGTATGAAACAGCAGACTCTTTTATGCTACTAATTTCTTGCAATTATGTATTCTTAGAGCATAGAAATCAGGATGATTGGTTTTCTGTCTTATTATTATAGTCTGGAGACTACCCGTCATGTATCAATGATCACTATCACATTATCAAAGAAGGAGCTGGATACGTCCTCCACAGGGTAAATAACTGAGAACTAAGTTTTATTTACATTTGAGAGAATTGGTGTCTGCTCCCACTTATTTTTAATTGTTTACAATGTTGTAATCAAATTTCCTTCTTTGGATTTAGACATTCACTTCCGGTGACCCCTTGTCCTGTCTTTTTGTTTTATCTGAGGAACTCTCTCTTTCTTTTTTATCACTATTTAGTTATTAATATTTTTTAATTTTCTATATGTAATATGGATTGCTGAATATCAAATGTTTAATCCTTCATTGAGAAATATTGAATATGTTTGAGCTTTTCCATTCTTTGGTTTTGAACTGTGATTCTTAGATCATATCTGATTACTCTTAAAATGCAGATATCAACCTCCTCTTCCGGCTGATCAAGTGAAACCCTTAAATGAATATGAAGATGACAGAAGTAAGCAATCTTGTTTGGTGAACAATTACTTATTAAAAGAAGGAAAAAAAAAGATAATGTGTTAGTAAAATATCTAATATTTTCATGTTGTCTAGCTTTAGAGGCTTCACCAGGGACACGAGGAAGGGGGCAAGGTGGTCAAGGAAGGTTTAGGGGTAGAGGTATTTCTTACTACTATAACATATATGGTTTTCAATTTGAATATTTCAACTTTTCATTTCCCTTTACTAATTGTATTATAATGATTGTCACAAAAGCAATGTACTTGACCTAATGTTGCATCTAATGACTCCTTTTTTGTGCACAGTTCATGTGAAAATCATGCATCTACTTCCCTTTTTCTTTGCCCATTTTATATTGTTTTATTCTGTTTTATTGTTGCATTGATCTTTGGTTTATTTTTGCATCCATATCTTTCTAGTATGTGGGCAATATATGTGCTTTCTGAGTATTTAAATAATTAAAACAGAAAAAAGGGTAAAGAAAGAAAAATCTTGTTTCTCTTCATCTCTCTTTGAAACTGCAAGAGAAGTTCCTTTGATCAATTCTACCACTTTTGAAGCTGTCATGTTGAGTACTGTTGTATAACTTGGTAAATATGCTCTCATTGGGTGCGTTCTGGTCTGCCTCTTTTATGATACAGGAAATGGAGTAGGGGAATATAATGGTGATGGTTGGGACGGTGGGCGTGGTTTTGGTGGCAGAGGTCGAGGACATGGAAGAGGGCGATCTTTCCGGGGTCGAGGGCGAGGCTATGGAGCTGGAGGATACTATCACTATGGTGAGTCTGATGCACCCCATCCCCAAGGTCGTGGTAAGTTTGTGCTTTGGAACAGAGTTCGAAGAATGTTGTATTTGTTCACTGCTAGCTTGTTGAGCCGTGAGAAATGAATTTTTGACTTTTCTATCTTGGAAGTGGCATGTGTGATTTTAACGTTAAAGTTCCTCTCTGAGAAGCAAAATAACAAGTTAACTACCTTCTGGGAAATATGCTAGCTAAACATTCCAAATTCATCAGATAATTGCACTATATATTTATGCCAAATGGTTTTCTAATTAAAATAGTTGGAATATTTGAGGACTTAGCTATTTCTGTTGCATTCTGTAGTTCTCTTCAGCATATAAACATTGACTGGAGTAAACTATCTACCCTCTTGCCTTAAGCCATGTTTCATGGTACGTTCAAGATCATGCAAATCTCACGAGCATGAACTGGCAAATCATAAATATCTGCAAAGAGCAGACTCCTAATATTTTATTTTTGATATGAAATGCCATCCTTTTGCAACTGTTATAAGCAATGGCTTTACATTAGATTGTATTGGTGTTTGTTTGTTATACTTTCTAATGTCGTTGGCACTATATGATTTGTGTTTCTTCGTTGCTTGACTGGCTGGTCATAGGTTTGTTAAGTCATGGGAACTAATATTTGTAAAATAATTTCAGCTTTTACAGGGCGTGGTCGTGGCAGGGGAAGAGGGGGCCGTGGGCGTGGTCGTTATTTCAGGCCAGATGGGCCAATCCAAGGAAACACTGCTTGAGAAGCGGACATCTTGTAGTTGGTGTGGTATTGACCATTATATGTGGATGCCTGCTCTGCTTGTGTCTTCATTTAGTTGGCGATATTTAGGGGAATCGTCTTTTGCTTCAAATAGAGAAAGTATAGCAGCCATGCTTGCTTGCAGTTTTGTCGTTTTTAGTTGTGGTGTAGGAATGTTTTTTCAGTGAATTCTGACAAGTCTTTCTCTTTACAATACCTTAGGAAAAGTTGTACAATTTTTACACTTTTTTTTTTTGTAGGAATAATAGAGCAATACATTCTTTTATTTTTATCTTAAATACATTTGCATGCTAATTACTAACCAGTTAGATTTTCATTTTATTTTGGTTCCCAGTTAACCGGAAATCATTTTGTCAGATAAACGTGAAAATTTTCGGTAGATGCTGCAAGATCAAATTTACATCTTCCTTTTGATTCATGATTGTTAAGACAAGTAAAACTTTCGGGAATTTGAATTGAAAACCAATTTAATCCATTTTAAAAAGTCAGGTTGTAGAGGGGCCTTGTTTACAACGGTGATAAGTTTTGTGTTTTTTTCCCCCCTTTGTATGATTATCTTGAAAAAAAAAAGTTATAGGAGGGAACAACTTGAAATCCAAATTGAACCAATGTGAGCATTTTATAATTCATATTTCTAAACGATTACAATTCCGTTCAATTCTCTTTAGCATTTTATATTTCATTTGATTCAGATAAACGTTCAAACATAACTCTCCTTCATCTATGGATTTGCCCCTACTCATGATCGTCTAAACAAATCTAAAGCTCAAAACTTCCTACTTAAAAAGAAATTTCAAACTTGTTTCTATAGTACATCTGTTTACTTGTTTAAAAGTTTTTTATTAGTAAATTTTTTGGATTACATAAATGGCAATACCATTTTCAGAGAATAAATTTTGAAAACTAAAGGAAACAAAAATATCTCTGTACATGCATTTGGAATTTTGGATTCAAATTCTATATGATACTAGCTTATTACTCTTAATTTTTCACTTACACCAATCTTTTTCTTCGTAAAACAACAAAAATTTCAAAGTGATCACTACTAAATCAATGTAACATCATATATATACATATATAAAGAGAGATTAACTTATATTAGTGTAAAACTTTTTAATTTTATATTTTTTTAACCATTAATTTTAATAGATCAAAATATTGAAAAAAAAAAAATAAAAAAACAGTTTAATCTCATCTTTTAGATATAATAAAAAAATATAAAAATAAAAAATTTTATATTAATATAAGTGGATCTCTCCTCATATATATATATATATATAATCATCAACTCTTGCCAATGTTTTTGCTATTGACTTAGCCAATAATTGATGTCCTAAATCTATTTCTAGGTGTTTAACATGAACCATTATTAATTCATAAGATCAACTATATATGTATAATACCAATTTATATATTAGCGTCCTAATCTCAAGTTGGAGTAACCTGTCTTCGAATATTTTTCAAATCAGGAACTATATATATGTAGACGTATATGCATATATAACACTAATTATTCATCAAAAGATAGATCATATATATGTGTGTGTGTGTGTGTGTGTCTGTTTGTTTCTTGATCTATGGTAAGTAGATAAAGAGCAAAAGCTGGTGAGGCAGGTGTTGTGGTGTGGGGATTCCATGGTAAAGCAGGTGACGAGAGAAATAAATAGTATATGTCTTTGCTGTCTGCTTATTTCTACCCTCTCAAGCAGAAATTTTCTAAGATAACTATTCTCTAGCAAGTAGTATACATGGTTAGTAGATAAAGAGTAAAAGAATGTTTGTTTAATTAATCCTTGATCAGTTTTTATAACAGACAAAAGACATATTATTAATAAGTGTTATCCGATATGTCTGATTCAAATCATAACATTTTGTAATCACTTACCCTATTCTCACATGCTGATGCCTTTTTGTGAAAAAAAATTAAATCAAGGAAAGAAGTAAGAAGCTAGCTGAACCTGCAAGCATAATTCGTATGATAGAAGCCAAGATCTGTAAAGCTATCAGTTATGTGTGTTACTCGAGTTTCAGACTAGTGGTGAACTACTGGATTATTACTGCTTTTGCTGCTCCAATATTATTTGAACAACATATATAAAATTGAAGTAAAATAAGTTCTTGACTAAAGAAAAAATCATTGATTTCTTTATTTAAAAATGGAGAATTTTAAATCTACATAGAATTTTTCAGGTTAATTAATTATTAAATCTTAAGTATTAGAAAGAATAGGAGAGAGAAATAATCTGATGTCATCAACAATTAAATTCAGCTCCATATTCGACATTTTTCTTTGAAACTCAAGCTTCATGATCATGATTTATAATCCAAACCCAGAAGAGATCAATTATCAATAAGCTTATTTTCAAGCCCTAAGAAGCAAGGCAAAAAGAAAATAGTCTTCATTTTCCTTTTTGTCCTTGAAAAGAAAAAAAGGAAAATTATTAATCCTTCTTTACAGAAATTTGTACTAGATTTGATTATAGGCTAATAATATTTCTAGAGAGAAACCCCATTAGGATTTTCTTCAATACCATAAATTCTTGCCATAGCTAACCTTAATAGGCTTTGTGTCCTTGTAAATACTATCAAGAAACCGATACCTTCGCTTCTTAATTGATCTCAAAGTCTCTTCTTCTTTCCCAAAAATCTCTTCAATCTTCGCAGACGTTATCCCATATTGACTTTGTTCAAAGAATATTCTCTTGCTGTTGATTATCTTTCTTTTAATTTTCTTGCTGTCGTTGTTGTTGTTGTTGTTGTTGTTGCCATTGCTGTTGCTGCTGCTGCTGCTGCTACTGCTACTATTGTTATCTTCATCGCTTAGTTGCATCAGCTGTTGAGCCGCTGCTGCCATGTCCGAGTCCGACATCAACAACCTTTGCAACTTAACTAAAGACTTTGATTCCGACATTGGAAATCAACCAAGATTAATGGTTAATGTCCTCTTTCCTTCTTGTTTTTCTCTGAACGGTTTTTTGCTTTTATGTTATGGGTTTGGGCTTAGAGCGCGTTTTGAGGGTACGTGTTTCTCGAGTTTTAAAGGAAGAAAAAGAAAGTGCAGCGCTGTTGCTATGAAGTTGGCTAGAAGATCACGGGTAAATATAAAATAATATATAATTTTGATCCAATGCTTCTAATTCTATTTTAATCCCAGACTCCAGAAAGATTTTTGTTCGTTTGATTGTTTGACTATTTCGACCATTGACTCTCTTTTCAATATTTCTCGTCAAGTAAGAAAACCAACTTAAAACTTGTCCTTAACTTCTTGTAACTTTGCTGGTAAGCTTGGTCTTCCCAGAATGAGGAAATTAGTTGGGAATGTTAAGATGGGACCCCCATCAATGTAAATGTTGTAATTTTGCTAGTTGATTAATTCTTAAGCCGTCTTCATATGGTCGATTGTTCTACATTGCTCAAGTTTTGATTGGAGATTTTTGAGCCTTCGATCATGAATTTGTCAAAGTTATGAGATGATTTTTATTGGTGTAATTTGTTTATGTTTCCGTTAATACTTTGATTAATAGAATGGATCATGACACATTGAAAAGCGACAAATATGGTTTGTATGGTCAATAGAAAGAAATATTGACCCTACTTTTTTTTTTTTTAAATGTGGCTTTAAATTCCATTTTCTTAACAAGTCTTGCTATTTTTTTAATTTTTATTTGAGTTTATATTTAATACATGATTAATGTATAAATTTTATACAATATTAATAAATTTGATGATGACACATTATTAATGAGAATTTTTTAAAATAAGTTTTTATTTATTTATTTTAAGGGTTTGCAAAAATTTATGTTTAGTTATACTTTCCAAAAAAAAAAAAATTATGTTATAGTCATTAATGAAATAATATCATTTGATTTATTAATAATGTATATAAAATTTATATGCATTATACTGTTATATACATTAGGCATAAAAAAAAGGTACAAAAGAAAACAAAACTGAACGTTTTAGTGGACTTCAATCTTAAAAAAAAGGAAAAAGCAATAGTTATACTAAATTTGAATTGACATTAAAAAAAAGAATTATAAATAATGATATTTGAATTTTATATTTATTGGATGTCATATTTTAAATATAATTATATAAATTATATAAATTATTTTTCTATTAAGTGAATTTATTTATTTATTTATGTGTGTAGTAGAACTAGAAAATTATGACCAACGTTTTTTGCGTGAAGGGAGAAAGAAGGATTGAGTAGAGAATGTGAACCAACATTGGTGAACCGACGATTGAAACAATACATTGATTGTTAGGTACTCCCCCCCCGCATTTTTTTTTTTTTTGGGCATTAATATTTTCATATGTTTTATGATTATATTTGTTATGCTTTAAATCTATTTTTTCTGAAAAAAGAAATTTTATTATGAAATATAAATAATTTTTTTAAATAGAAAAAGTAAGCAATTTAAGTGATATGAAAGGGAAAGAAAATAATTTAATTTGAAATATCCAAAAAAAATTAATTTGAAACAATAAGATAGATCAGAACTTTCTTTTCTTTTACTTTTTTTTTTAGTTTTTTTTATTAATGAAAATGTTATGAAACTAAAAAACTTTAGGCATAACATATTATTGATTAATGAAAGAAAGGGAAAATCTAACAAAAAGAGAAAGGAAAAGTGAGAATTATTTTCCCTTCTTTTTTTTTTTTTTTTTGATACAATAGATGGAAAATAAAGAGAGAAATATATTAGAGGTAAAATTATAAAAATA